TGAAGGATGATGAAGAATGAGCTTTTTATATTCAAATTATGCCACATCGTAAACCTATGTCAATAAAAAATATGAGATAACTGTGTGTGTATGCAACTTAAAATCACACATTTTGATATTGCACGTCTTCAGAGAAAATTCTTCTTGAATATTCACAAGATTGTTCATCCTTGCAGTGAACACAATCAGAAATTTGTGACAGACGATCTCAAAATGTGCAATATGAAATGTTACACTAATATCTGATTTGTCAGCCTTGTCTTTCATGCATTATATTTTTTTTTACAAATCTGATAACTTTGGGGTTTTTTTTTTCATTATAAAGCCGTCGATCGTCTTATGACTTTTTTTTTGAGAACATATAGAATTGTTCAGTCCTTTCTAAAAAATGTTTGGGGGGGTGGGGGTGGGGGGGGGGGTTGGATGGCCGAATGATTAGCATGTGCGTGCTGTATCATAAAGCCTGTCATTGAGTCAACTGGCATGGTTTTGAATCCCCAGTTGTTTGTGACAAGGAGTAGGGTCGCCTGTCCAACCTTGTGGGTTTTCTCCGGGCCCTCCGGTTTCCTCCCACTGCTAAAGACCCATACGCGCAAGCAAATTATTAAAATAAACCCCATTTCTCTCTCTCTCTAAAAATGTTCTCAAATAAATAATTTAATATTTAATTAAGCAAACAATACAAAATGTTAACACTAATATTTGATTTGAAACCATTTCTTCATGCATTATATTTTTACAAATCTGATTGATATAGTAACTGTTTGGGGTTTTTTTCATTATAGAGAAGAGAGAGAGAAATGAGGTTTAACGTCCACTCAACACAAACTAGGTCATTTTGGGACTAACACACAGTTCAATTTTCTTTCAATAATTCACTTGCGCATAGAGGTCTTTAGCAGTGGGAGGAAACCGGAGGGCCTGTCACGTACAATCTGGGAATCTAAACCATCCCAGACTTTATGATACAATGCACACAGGCTAACCATTTGGCCATCCAACCCCCCTTTTTTCATTATAAAGCCATCAATCGACATGCCTTTTCCGGCCAATAGCTAATTCTTTGTGGCTTAATTTATGCTAAAATAAATGATTGAACATTTAATCATGAAAACATATCATTGATAGATAATTTTCTGATTCGATTCATTCAGATTAAAGGAGTTAAATGGCTAATTTCTGGGACCTAGAGAAGGACACAAATGGGTTGCAATGCAAATAATAATGTACCGGTAATATGAATGTATAAAAAACCGATTTACATTCAATCGTTTCCGTTTTTACTCTAATTTCAAATCAGTTATATTCGGCGAAATACACCAGAAGTCTCAATCGAATGGCAATCTCTAGCATCTGGTTATTCCAGTCTACACCTGTAATATTTATTGCGCATGCTCTCCAGATAAGAATATGATGTCACCATTTGACATGAATTGTGGAATATGTCTAGCCCCGTTCTTCGACTCCCTTCTTACAAATGGCGCTCAAACGCATTCTTGTACATGTACATGATTCATAATGTTTATTTTGTCTTCAATATTGGATATCAGAAGCTCATCTTTTCCCGGTAAGATCACAACATCAATGTTGATTTAAATTGACAAATAATTCGTGTTTTCAATGTCTAAGACTGTGGATGATATTGAGTTAAAGACTTAAAATGAGACCCATCTAAAACATTTTACCTAACACTTCTACATGTGATGTACATGTTAGTGGCACTGGTTTGTTTAAATCATTTGAAGGGAGAGAGAAAGAGAAATGGGGTTTAACGTCCACTCGACACAAACTAGGTCATTTCGGGACAAACATATGGTTTTAATTTTACTTCAATAATTCGCTTGTGCGTAGGGGTATTTAACACTGGGGGGAAACCAGAAAACCCACGTGCTAACCATTCGGCCATTCCCCCCCCCCCCCATTAATTTTGAAATATATAATGTTTTTTTTAACAAACATATTGTGTGGATCTGTTTTCCAATTGAACATTAATTCGTGGAAATGTATCTTTAAAATCCAAAACCTAACATAATGCGCAGAAACAGCATGAATTGAATTGAATAAATTATATTTTTTTTGATCACGTATGAAAAATATATTTAATTTTGTATTATGGATATACACCTACAAAAATGTGTATGATCTCTGTTACAAATGAAAATCTTTATTGAAAGAAATCTAAAATCTATTAAAAACTATTTTAGGAAATTTCTAAATCATATTTTGAAGACATCATGCTGAAATAAAAAAAATGTATGAACATCTGTTGAAACTTACTAGTTTATTTTCCCCATAGAAAAATATTCCTCATTCATTTTTAAATTCATTCAGTTCATTGTGGACTTAGTTTACACTCTGTTTTACAATGTACAATATCGACTTGGGCAAAACAGTATTGTGCAACATATTGTATGTATGGTATTAGGACCACTATATATATGGGAGAGAGAAGAAAAAAATAAAGATGTGGGTTTTGTAAATGATAAGAGGGTTGGAATTACAAAACAATGACAACAAAACATTTCCAACAATTAATGTTAGGCTACAACTATTTGGATCAAAATTACAAAAGTTTAAAACAATCTGAGGTAAAGGACATTAACAAAAGGGTACAGAATTGGTTAGTTCAGTGATTGAAGCACATCCATGGAGAAGTGGACAAGCGGATTGGCATAGTGGGTAATATGGGGTTTGAAGTTCCACCCATCCTAAAATTCTCTTTAATACACCTGTAGCCGGCAATTTCTTTAAAAGGAAAAATTATTTGTTTTTGAAAAAATAAAATTTTTTGCAGTTTTTCAGGAAAAAATAAGAGATTTTCAGGCAAATTAAAATATAATCTTCATAAAATCAGCAAATATAACTTCAACAGGCAAAACAGAAAACTCAGATTACTACATGTAGATTGTAAATTTATAAATATTTTGGGAAAATCATTAATTTTGAGAGATTAAATCATAATTCATTGCAATTTATGTCTAGCAATTTAGACAACCTCTTTCCAGTTCCCTCAAGCATAAAGGCTCCCCCATGTGCACTAACGATTGTATAGTCTCTGAGAGGGTACATTCCTTTTTTAACAACCATTTGTGGTTAAGAAAATAAAAACGTATATCATAGTCCTATGAAAAGAAGACCTATGAAATAAACTCCTGTGATGTACCTTTATCTATTAATAATAAATGAGCCTAATCTTTATTACAGTACATAAACACATTGCTCTATCCATGTATATAAAGTATGTGTACTACATGTATATATTCATATAAATTAATATAAAATTAACACTTTAACTACACACTTAACAGACCAGAGTGTAGACAAATATATTTCAAGTAAATTCAAGGGTTAATTATAAGGTTAAGGGGTTAATTTCCACTCAATAGATTAACCACTTATAACACCTGCTAGGGTATACTGGTACATGTTCAATTACCATTTCTATCAAGTATAACACAGATCCATACAGTACTTTTTTTCATAGCAATTGCTTCGTTAAACATACATTATTCAAAAGCTAAATTTATCTATTACAGATCTTTCTTTGGGCCTTAAATGACCGTGGTTATGATAATCAAAATTAATGCACACATCTTGTCGAAACAGTGATAACTTGGCTCAGAATAAAGACATTTGAATGAAATTCTCGCTATAATAATAGTTAAAAAAATAGATAATGTAAATAGAATATGCTGAAAATTGCTGTCAAATTTCTCCAATCTGAACCAAGATGTTAGCTTTTGAATTTTAGGCTAGCCTAGATCATCATTATGATACTGAAGTCGGTGTGATAAAAAACAAAGTCTCGATTATCCATTTTGACGTTAAATCATCTATCACAAAATGTAAATCCAGTAAATATCGCAGGCTAGCGATGACATCGAAATATCTTGAATAAATTGTTACATTGATCGGTTTTATTTTTACATATATACTAATATCTCAATCACAAGATCTCATAAAGATACAAGCTGAATTCTTCACAATATATCTCAAAATTAAGAAATATTTACTATTTCAAAAGTCACCGGAAAAGCTTTATAACAAGATCCCGATAGTCAATGTTACCTGCCACAGGTAAATTTCAACAGGTAGATTTCTATGAGCAGAAGGACTAAAATTACATCATGGTTTGTTTATTGGCAGAAAGTTACAACTAGTCACAGAGAACGGCAGAAATCGCTAATGTTGAAATTTACCAGTGGCAGGTAACATTGATATTCGGGATCATGTTATAGGCTACTTATGGAAAGGATATGTTGATATAATAGCTTGAAGCTTTTCCGGTGACCTTTAATAGTTCATACATATTTATTACTTTTGAGAGATATATTGTGAACAATTCTGCTTGTATTTTTATTTCTCTCCTTCCCATCCAACATTTAAAACATCTTTCAAATCATGTAACCACAAGAAGAGAGAGAGAGATGAGGTTAAACCTCCACTGATACAAACTAGGTCATTTCGGGACTAACATATGGTTAATTTTATTTCAATAATTCGCTTGCGCGTAGGGGTCTTTAGCAGTGGGAGGAAACCGGAGAATCCGGAGAAAACCCACGAGGTTGGACAGACGACCCTACTCCTTGTCATATGTACAAACGGGGAATCAAAACTACAGCAGTTGACTCAATGACAGACCTTATGATACAGCGTGCAGTGCTAACCATTCGGCCATCCAACCCCCCCACCCACAAAAAGATTTTAACCTCTAGTAAATTTTGTGTATTTATTCTTAGCTGAACTTCATATGATTATATGGCTTCTAAAATAAGTTATTTTGTTAACAGGTAACTTTTTCTGTGGGGGAGGAGCAATTGACAGAAATTTCTGTCATGATGGGTTGGAAGTAAGTACAAATTAAATTTCTGATCAATAAAAATTGTTTGTATTTGTAAATTTTATATATACAAAGCTTAATTGTGTTTAATAATTAATGTATGAAGTAGAAATTGTAGGTTAGCTAATTTAAATTTCTGAGAGAAAATAATTATACATACTTCTTAACGATCTTCCTTCTGAATCAGGCGTTCCTCTATCATACATGTCTCCATTTTCAGACAAATTTTCGGAATTGGTGTCGTATCCGGCTGAACTAATACTGGAAGGTCTTTCATCTTTTACTGTGCATGACGCAGAGGTTTTAATCTCGGGAGAATTTGTTCTGGAGTCTGGCGAATCTATTCTGTTAAAAGAACTAGTCCCTGCATCATCTAATTTAGTTTTTTTGGCAGGTGTGAAAGCCGACTGGTAATCGGATATACCCTCCGAAGATTGTCCAAGAGGTCTAAAAGCTCCACCCCCTTGTGAGGAAATTAAATTTATTCCTCTTTCAAATGTTGGCCTAACAAATGGTGGCATGGGGGCATAGAGTGGTGGGGCAAATGGATCCCCAGGTCTGTACATCGTAAACGGTGCTGTACCAAACGGACTTGATAAATCTTTATCCATATTCTGGCCCGAGTAGGGGTGCGGCAATCTCGGAGCTTCATGACCATCTCCTGTTGGCGCCAAAACCATTAAATTTGGCACAAATGATGAATTCTCCATTCCTGAATTTCCTGGAGGAGGAAAGAAAGGTTTAGGCCAGAAATTAAAACGAAACATTTTGGTAAAATCCAGAGCACTGGTCATTGCTAAACAACACAAAACATAAGTTGAATTAAGCAGAAACTTAATGTTAACTTCTCGGGTCCAAAATATTTCACAATCTGCCACTCACGCTAAAAATATTTATTTAATTATGCGATCTTATCATTGTTTAATATAAATAGTTATATTTTCATGCTAATTAATTTTCCTCCGTTATTATCCAATAATCAATCACAAAAATATTTTCCTCTGCACTCCGGTACTTAAAAGTACAAGTCACATCAATAACTAACAGTCTACAACAATATTGTCTCTTTCCGCGCGAAGTAAAGAAGTTATTTTTCTAACTAAATATTAACATCCAAAACAATTTGTCAGTTTGTATCAATATAGCAACCAACAAGAATTAAAAGCTTTATCGCTCAACACTTGGAGTCAATCACTGACAAGCGATGGTTATAGAATGCGACCAATAATAATATCCTGCTGGGAAATTTAGGAGGTGTGATCATTCTACGCCTTGGGGCATATATACTGATCCTAACCCTTAAGGCTGTCACATGCTTGTAATGATTGTTTTTAGTGGTACATACTAGTTATTACACTTGGTTCTGCTCTAAAAATCAATTCATGTGCCCATCAGCCAATCAGTGACCGGCCTTCTATTGAAAGCTATCATGACGTTGTGAGGTGAACCAAAAATAAGAATAGAATGATATAAAAATTGACCAAGACACAACGCCAATTGAACACTTAAAACAGTGACAATTAACAAAAATATTAGTCGGCAATTAAACTTTATTTATTAATCTGCGAAATTAACAACAAAACTTCCTCTATTAGTTGAGGATGGAGGCAGATGATAGCAGATTTTCTTGACCCAGTGTTTGTAAACAATCCCGCTAACTAGAAGTTGAGCGCAAAATCGCCCGCTGTTTGACAGCGAATACTGCAAAATGCACAACGAGTTACATAAAAATAATAGTATGATCGGATTAATCAAGGCCATATTGGATTACTAATTAATCAATATGCAATTTCTTGATGGCGATGGTTGAGAATTTAAACGGATAGATCACCAAATACCTACTTGATACTACCAACTCTCTTCGGCATCCCTAGCCTCGATTTCATAAACGGGGAATCTCTTACGAATGCTGGGAAGCGGTATTCTCCGTGTTACTAAATAAATCTTATTCGACCCGGTTAGACGTAAAATGGGATTTTCAACTGTCAAATAGTATTTTTAGCACTTTATATTCATAAATTATATAATCTGTAATATTGATAATGCAAATAAATGAAAATAACAGTTTATGGCGAACATGAGCCGTAAAAATGTCGGTTATGCACTCAGTCGGAGGGAGTCTCTATCTTAGATTACCGGTATCTGTAGGCCTACTGAAGGCAAAAGCAAAGTATTAAATTATCATAATATAATTCTATATCTTGATTTTTAAAACTTTTTTATGGTTCTTTATTCTTTACCGGGCCTCTCGATTAATGTTTTTTTATTTAATTTTTTTCATTGTAAAACTGTAATTGGAACTCCCCGGGACACTTTTTTTTCGCTGGTTCAATATGATAAATGACCTATACGTATCGCTGTTAATATAGGCCTAGATAAGTAGCCTAATCCATTCACTAATATTGTTAGCTTTATGATTTTGGCACCTAATAATGACACCGGTTTACTATTTCGATAGCTAATAAATACACAAAGAATTCGTTGTGTTTTCTGGTCAGTGAATGACTAAGATAGACTGAAGAATGTACAATAAGAAAAAAACCGTAAAGCAATAATAATAATATTCAATATTAATAAACAAGGGAATATATACCATTATAATATCTTTTGTGTTGTTGGTTTATGAACGATTTATAGGCTGGATCTTAGACTGAATCTTTAGTATAGAGTCATACAAAGGAAAATAATGCTATAAATATAGGTCTTATATATATATATATATATATATATATATATATATATATATATATATATATATATATATAAAATATTTAGTATTTATAAGGGTCTCCCACTGTTAACGTTTAGAAAAGAATGACGCACCTGTGTTTTTTGTTCTGTTTTGTTTTAGTCATCGGTTTGGACCGACTGTACCTCTACTTTTATTTTATAAAATGTATAACGGAACTAAACCTCTAATATTTAGGTTAAAGATACATTATGGTTGATTATATAAAGAGCTGACAGTTCTCACTATAATAGTTAAAAACTAGATAATGTAAAGGGAATTTCCTGAAAATTTCAGTCAAATTGATCTACCCCGAACCGAGTATTTAGCGATTGAATTTTAGGCCTAGCCTCGATCATCATTACTAAAGTCGGTACGATAAAAAGCAGAAGACCGGGTTCTAATCCAGTAAATATCACAGGCTAGCGAGGCCATCGAGATTTGATTATGGTCTGGATAAGTTAATTAATGTCTAAGAAAGACCTACAATAGACAGATTTATTCTGAGCGAAAGTATCGGTTTTCGAAGTTTTAACTATAATATAGTTTCGATGCTACAAAAATAAACACAGTCTCGATCATCCATTTTTTAAATTAAATTAACGTCGTTTTAATCCATTAAAAATCACTATCATCCGACATTCTAGCTAGAGTTTATTATGGGCTTGTCGTGTGAAAAATGTCTAGATATAATAGTTTATACATTTTGAGCCAAATAAAAAGAACTGCAAGACCCGAAATTGGAACGGTTTATTTAATTTTTTATGCGTATGAAAGTTGTAAAACGGATTTAAACCGCGTACAAAATACGCAAAAGGACAGCTGTCTAGTCGTTCGAATGGGACGAAAAACCGAGGACGCGTGTATACTTTGACGTGCATGTAAGAGATCCCTTGGCAGTTGGATTTTGATATAAGAGTAGGCCATAGTGCCGCTGTCCGGGCAAAATTTTCCTCATAGCACACTGTATGGCATATGTCCGTCTTCATTAGCCCAGTGGGAGCAGAACAGTAGGACGTTAAACAACATTTCATTCCGGGTAGAGATCTATTCCCGTTAATCTTAAGGTAGATAATTCTCGGTATGCAGAATGACCGTGATACCGATACTTTTGGGCTTATAAACCATGTTTTACGAACATCAGTGAAATTAGGTGTTGAATGAATTTTGATGAATGAGTATCGTCTTCTCTGATGTGTTCACAAATTCACACCTTGAGTAAAGTAGGGTGTCTCAGTGGATTATATGCGGTATTTTTCCACCGACAAAATATTCGGGGCTAAATCTATTTGTTAAGGCAAGCTCAATTTTTGTCAAGGTCGCTGAGAAGTAAATAAGGTTAGGGCACGTGAATTTTTGGCGAGATTGTAGGTTAGGGTAAGCATTGGGGCTGAGACCAGGGTTAGAGTTGGGATTAGCGCTAGCCCTGTTTAGGCTACATCTGGTGACATAAGGCGAAAAATTGAGCTCGCCTTATCATTTAGCACAAACCAGGTGGATTCGGATAAACTCAATATTCAAACTCATGGTGTTTGAGTGACTTTTTTCATTTTTCTTTTTTCGCCGCAAAATATTGATCGTAAGCGGAACGATTTTCATTCGGAACACACATACTCGCTAATATTTTATGAGTCATAGTAAAATCATTAGGCCACACAACCGACTAATTTATTCGTTATTCAAACGCCAAATACTAGATAATTAACTGATTTTATTCTGTTCTATGAAGAAGTTCGATCAAACGAACTGTTGTCTAGTTTTCTGTTTACCACCAGTTGTAGTCAAAAGACATTCAAATATACTAGCATTAGTCTAGCTTTCGAATGCTATAGCACCATATTGTTGTTCGAGGACCCTCATGAATATTTTGATAATAGGGTTTATTACATTCTCCTTATATCATTGAGTCAGGAACTGTTTAGAGGAGTTCGATATCAATGGTGTTGTGAACACAATGACAGACAAATCGCTCAATTTTACAAACAAACCCCGCATCTGGTCTTCACAGAATACTCCATAAATTCTGAAAATTTTTCCCTCAGTTGTCAGGCGGCTCAATGGACCGATTTCATAACAATTGTAGAGCCCTTCAACCCCTTTGTTCATCAGATATTCCACCTTTGAAACGTGCGGATAAAAGTAGTTTTAAATTTTCTTAAAGTTAAACTGACACGAGTTTAAATCGGTTTCTTTCGCTCAATGATCATTGCATTATGTACGGAGTATCTGACTGACAACGCCATTTATCATATAAGTTTAACAAAAGCCAGCTTAGTCTAATAAATTTCACATTTTGTGTGTTTTGTCATGAAGAGTTTTAAAACGATTTACTGGCTACGAACAAAGGTAGATCACGGAAGACTTGATTGTGAGGATTAGGGACGAGTGAGAGTAGCTTTGATTGTTATGTCGAAGGGTTTATAAGTTTTTGTTCAGGGGGAAACAGATTGGTGTAAGGTGTTTTGTCTTGAAAGTAGCCATCACCACCATCTTGCATTGTTCGTCTGTTACGGCGTTCTGTCATGGACTGTCAGGAAAGTGAACAGGCGGGAAATTTCTCTTACCGTGACCATTTATACCATGAATGTGCGAGAGTCAGTATTTTGTTTATTTTGAAAAGATTTAATGGTTTAGAAACGTAGCGAGAAAGTGGAAACACAATGGCGTCTGCACGTGTGTGTGACACGGTTGTTAATTACCTCCCTTTAGATAATAAGTTAATGTACGCTATAGACCCCTTCAACATTATAGAAATAACGTTCCTGGACATTGATCGGAACATTATTACCGGATATATCCATTTGAACAAATGATTTGGTCATTACGTTGACAGATCGTCACACAATATGAAGAAGTGTTATTGGTTACATATCTAAGATTAGCTGCAGGGGCATTGTAAACTCCGTATGACACTATTGTTTAATCGCTGACACATCTTAACGTTGCTCTTCTAGAAATGAACATTCCACGATTGAAAGAGCATCATTAAGCATTAAGTCTTGACCATTTTTCTATAGAACTCGTCACAGATTCATTAAGTCTTTAGCAAGGACTATAAGTGATAATCTTGTCAAGTATGGGTTGTATCTAAAAGTTTCAATGGTTAATCACGATGTTGGTCCGAACGGTGTCCATCTAAAATCTTTAGTATGTTAGGACTAAAATTAAAATTCTTTCTTTGATACATTTTCCTCGGTACTTTTAGGTATTTTATTGAGCATTCTTATTTTTCTTTCATATAAGATCATGTTGCATTTAATTTTCCTGTGTTGTAAGTTTTGAAATATCATAAAGTGGGGTCCATCATTCTCCCGTTCTGTCTATAATACAAAATCAACCAACGGGATAATTTTGACCACATGTGAAATGGTAATTCCCACCACTGCGCAAAAGGTACTGTCAATACCATGATATGACAAAGTGAGAAATTAAAAACGGAAAACGGCTGTACAGCGCAGTGGACGCTTACGGTTGGTCCCCGTATCCATTTTCTTGATTTAATGTTTGTTTATGTGTATGTAGTCTGTGTCTTGTCGGCAGGTTTGTCGCATTGGTTTTGTTTTGCGTGTAGTGAGGTCCTCCTGCACTTACTTGT